ATGTTTCTGAGGTTTATCTATGTGATAGATAGCAGCTGTCAGTCCTCCCTTTCTTTTCATGGCTGCATAGTGTTCTACTTTATTTGTATACTACAACTCTTCTGTCCATTCATTTCTTGATGGACATGTAGGCTATTTTCACTTTTTGGCTACTGTGAATAGTGCTGCTATGAACATGTGTTTAAGATCCTGTGTTCTGTTTTGGGGGGTATATACCTAAGAGTGGGACTGCTGTGGGATATGGTAATTCTGTGCTTAACATTTTGAGAAATCGCCAGACTATTTTTCACAGTGACTGAACTGTTTTGCACTCCCACCAGCAATGTCCAAAAGTTCCGATTCTTCCACATCTTTGCCAACACTTGTTATTTTCCTATTAATTCATATTTAAATAATCAATTTTGAACTTCTCATCTTGGGCATAAATATTTCTCCTGTAAGTAGATCTTCTAGCAAAAGAACTAGACTATTAGTTTGTAATGAAGAAATAATTTAAAATGAAAAGGGTCAATGCTTTATTAAGTGGAATCTTAATTAAAAAAAGAAAAAAATCAAAGGAGAAAGAAGTTACTGGTGGCTCACACCTGTAATCCTAGCACCCTGGGAGGCTGAGGTGGGTGAATTGCCTGAGCTCATGGGTTCGAGATCAGTCTGAGCAAGAGTGAGACCCTGTCTCTAAACCTAGCCAGCATTGTGGCAGGGGCCTATAGTCCCAGCTACTCAGGAGACTGAGGCAAGAGAATCACTTGAGCCCAAGAGTTTGAGGTTGCTGTGAGCTGTGATGCTACGGAACTCTACCAAGGGTAACAAAATAAGATTCTGCCTCCAAAAAGTAAAAAAGAACTTACGAAATACTTTAATTAATGTGATTTACTTACACTCTTATCTCATTCCAAATTTGATATGACTTATGGAAGTACTTACAATAGAGAGTTTCTATACTACATTCCTTAGAATATCTGGGGTTGCTTGTTAAATAATGTATATAGTCTGCTTCCCCCACCCCCCCCGGCCAAATTTAAGATGTTAGACTCTCAGGGCATTGAAAAAGAGGCATACACCTGGGAGTCTACATTTTAAATATGCTCCCTGGGCAACTCAAGTAAAACAAAGTTTAGAACAACTAACATAACTAGACCAGAACATCTCATTAGTCAAATGAGGGATTGAATTTCGCCCTTGTCAGTAGGAAAAGTATTTGCAATTAAAGACATTTTTGTTGTGTTGTTGCAGCAAGATTCTTAGCACCATAGGAAGAGACATGGTTGGCCATTTTAAATCTTGAAAGTTATTGTAATTTAAGATTGTTTTTCTAACTTCTGGGGTTTGCTTAATAGATTTTGGAGTGTATATACTAGGTCTCCTATAAATATGCTGAAACCTTTGAGAAATATGTTTTATTGAAATGGTTAGAATTTTATTATCGAAGCTAAGAATAGAGTCAACTTAAATTACTGAATTTATGGAGGTTTCTTCCCTACCAATGTCTTTTAAGATTTATCTGTGTTTTTAAATTATTTAATGTGGACTTTATGTTTCTTTCTTTAGGATGATATTTGGTAAATTGGTCACTTCAGTGTTTCTCAATATCACTTTCTGGGGGTCTAGATTTTATTTAAAAATCTAATAAAAACTGTGAATCCTTTATTCACTCCCCCTCAGATAACTAATATTAACCCACAGACCTCCCATGATTCTGAATACATTTTGGGCATCCATGGTCATGAGGCTGAGAATATTTGGATGTTTAAGCCTCTCTTTCCTTTTGTACATCTGTAATTTCTTTCTCCAAGTTAGAATATTTCCTATTCTTTTTATTACACGGTGAAAACTATGGGAATAGGAATGTATCAAAAGACCAGACTCCTAGTAATTTCACTTACTCTCAGTGAAAGAAAGGAGGAAAGGTCTCTCAAATAGAGAATAAAAGACTGACATGAAGCCCAAACGTTTTCTGTGATAGAAGAGTAAGAGATCCAACCGTGGGATACATTAAGTGACAGACAAACACAGATGAAAAGGTGGAATATGACATGACAACAGGAGTGGAGGGCGTTAATTTACAGGAACAGTGTGTTCCCAGCTAATGGAGAGGCTAAGAGCGTATTTGGCAGTCCCAGAATCTGCTCCTTTTACATAATCAGTATATGTATGTGCACCAAAGACATCTGGTCATCAAGAATAGTCAGAGTTCTATTGATTCCACCAGACTTATAGAAATGGAATTCATTCTAGATTTTGGAAGGATTTTTATGAACATATAAAAAATGTATCATGAACATAAAGAAATAATGTTAAAATGCCAGGACATTTTACAAAGAGCAAAACCCCTGATACTGTTTTCTCTCACTGTGGTATTTCAAATGCTTATGGTTTGGTGTTTTTGCCTGTTTTGTTTATGTGATTATTGGTAGATATAAAGGTTTATGATGCTGTTCCTGACTATTCATTATTGGGGCAAAATCTTCCTTGGTTTACTAGAAGACTGGTGTTTTTTTTTTTTTTTTTTTGCACAGGCAGACACCTTTCTCCCGCTTACCTGGCAGCTGTGTCTCTTGTGACCCAAAGAACACATTTGTAAGATGATTGACAGCGTTGGTATATGTTTATAGTTTGTGGTCAGAAGTAGAGTGATACTTTGAATTTAAATGAAACACAGCTGCCCTTTTTATTTTTTATTTTATTTTATTTTTATTTTTTTGAGACAGAGCCTCAAGCTGTCCCCCTGGGTAGAGTGCCGTGGCATAGCTCACAGCAACCTCCAACTCCTGGGCTTAAGTGAGTCTCCTGCCTCCGCCTCCCAAGTTGCTGGGACTACAGGCGCTCGCCACAATGCCTGGCTATTTTTCGGTTGCAGCTGTCATTGTTGTTTGGCAGGCCCGGGCTGGATTCGAGCCCGCCACCTTAGGTGTATGTGGCTGGCGCCTTAGCCACTTGAGCCACAGGTGCTGAGCCACACTTTTTATTTTATTATTTTATTATTATTATTTTTTTTGAGACAGTCTTACTCTCTCACCCTAGGTAGAGTGATGTAGTGTCATCGTCGCTCACAGCAACCTCAAACTCCTGAGCTCAGGAGAGTTTCTTGCCTCAGGCTCCTGACTAGCTGGGACTACAGGCCTGTGCCACCACACAGCTCTAGTTTACCTGTTTTTAGTAGGGATGGGGGTCTCACTTTTTCTCAGGCTGGTCTTGAACTTCTGAGCTCAAGTAATCCATCTGTCTTGGCCTCCCAGAGTACCAGGATTATAGGCATGAGCCACCACACCCAGCCTGGCCTTTTTTTTTTTTTTTTTTTAAAGAAAGCTAGTAAAGTATCATACTTTTATTACCTTTGTGCATATGGGAGCCTAAGGAAGTTCTAAGAAGTCTTTTCTGGTTTAACAAAGAAAAGTAATAAATATTTGAACTTTTTGGAAACCAAAGATGTAAATTTAAGCAGATTGCCAGGGCAATACATTACAGAATATGATGACCAATTAAAATCAAAGTCTTTATGGTTTATTCAGATTTACTTTCATAGCATGTAACAACATTTTCTTAAGTTTGGATATTTTACAAAACTCCTTTGTTAGAAATTACATTTGCAAGAGCAACATTATACTGCTTTTTTCCTGATGCACTGGGGAAGGAGGAAATAGGTCCATAAAAGCCCTGCACAGGTATGTTTGCAGGAGCTTTATTTGACTTAGCCAAACCCAAATGTCCTTCAACAGGTGAATAAACAACAAACTGTCGTATATTCATACATTGGCTTTTTTAGTCGGCAAAAAATAATTAAATAAATAAATATAAATGAAGGACCACTGATAATGCAGCACTATGGATAAATCTCGAAGAATGATGCTGAGTGAACAAAGCCAGGCAAAAATGAGTGTATACTCTATGATTCAATTTGTGTAAAATTCTCAGAAATGCACCTAGTGACGGAAAGGTCAGTGGCTGCCTGGTGAGGGCAGGATGGGAGAGGAAAGAAGAGAAAAGGGAGGGATTATAAAGAGCCACTAGGAGGTGGTAGATATGTTCACTGCCTTGATTATGGTGATGATTTCACAGGTGGTTATAGATGTCAAAACTTACAGATTACATACTTTAAATGTGCGCAGTTTCTGGCATGTCCATTGTACATCAATAAAACGAGTGAAAAGAAAAAGCAAATCGCTCTCTTACATATATCCTCTATGGTCGTGGACCACAACCTCTGGGCTGTGGCCCAGTACTGGTCCATGGCCTGTTAGGAACTGGGCTGCACAGCAGGAGATGAGCAGCGGGCAAGCAAAGCTTCCTCTGTATTGACAGCTGCTTCCCATTGCTCACTTTACTGCCTGAGCTCTGCCTCCTGTTGGATTCAGCCCCCACCGCACTCCCATCTGTGGGAAGATCATCTTCCATGAAACTGGTCCCTGGTGCCAAAAAAGGTTGAGGATCACTGCTCTACTCCCTCATACCTCCCTTCCTTAAGGCACTGGCTTGTCAAAATCACATCATCTGCTAAACCCGTTCCTACAGCAATGTAAACATATCTGGTTGGCAAAAAAATAAGCAACACTGACTAATAACAGTTGGAAAGAAGTTGCTTTATAAAATAAGGTGTATAGTACAAAGCCAATTTTTGTCCAAAAACTTTATCTACTTATAACTTTAGAAAAACATCTGGAAGGTTAGAGACAAAATAAATAAATAAATAAATAAATAATAAGTGACGCTATTTCTTAGTAGGTCACAGGTGATTTTTATTTTCTTGTTTATATTTTGCTGTGCAATCTGAATTTTTTACAAGCAGTGTGAATTACTTTTATAATCATCAAAACTAAAAAATCAATTTTTATTTTTAGATATTAGAGTTGACTGTCATCTGTATAGGTTGTATTTGGTATAGCTAAGCATCAGACTTCATAAATACAAGGATTTAGAGGCTATCCTGGGACACCCAGAGCTTTTGGAAATGTACTTTTCATCTCGTCTGACATTTTTCTCACCATTTTCCCTCCCATCTATAGCTAGAAGACGAAATTACAACTTTGCGACAAGTTTTGTCAGCGAAAGAAAGGCATCTGGTTGAGATAAAGCAAAAACTCGGCATGAATCTGATGAATGAATTAAAACAGAACTTCAGCAAAAGCTGGCATGACATGCAGACTTCCACTGCGTGAGTATGGCATTATCTGAAGTTTAGAACGAGCTTGGCCTGCTATCTCTGTACTTTTCTGTTCTGGTCTGGTTTTTTTTTTTTTTTTTTTTCCCTGAAAGACTGATTTGGAACTTGTAGCTAGAGGAAAAAAAAAAAAAAAATATATATATATATATATATATGTGTGTGTGTGTGTGTGTGTGTGTGTGTGTATATATATATAATTTTTTTTTTCCCTAGAAGCAAAACAAAGAACTACATTACATGTGAAGCAGAATCAAACACTATTTTCACTCAGACTACCTGCATGGGGTTTTGTGGTTTAAACATTTTCTCTCATTATATGCTTTAAACATTGATTACATAGATATTTTTCTTTCATTTTTTCACAAAAATTATGAATGGGCAGGTGTTTTTTCCCTCTGCATACTTGACTCTTGCTACATGTGTTGTGTCTTTCAACATATGGCTGGTAGTTTTAGTACTGACTGTTAGCAATTGAGTTTTAAAAAAACTCTCATACCTCTCATGTTTTGGTATATGCCTTTCATCCTCACTACTCTGTGAAATACTTAGAGCTGAGTTTAGACCAATAGCTTTGGCCTTGCTGTTATTATCTTCTTGTCCTGTGTTAGGCAAGGTACAGACTAACCTTGCTTATTCTACAATCACACTTTTATCGGATTATTTTTTAAGTTATATGAATACTTAACTGTGGTGTTACTTTTCTCTTGATTTAAAATGTTTTGCTTGCCAGGTGGTCTTGTATCAAGGGAATAAGGTACCCACGTATGTGATATGAATTTTCTTTTTGTCTGTTAAGAGTAGGGGACTGATGGGGAAATCACAGAAACTCCCTATCTTCAGCCCTAACTTCAGTCTTAAATTCCACCATTAAGCAATTTTCATCTTTGAATTGTGTATTTTTTTCCCTAGTATCTCCCACTGGAAGGTAAAGATACTGGATTCCTAAGACATAAGTAGGAGTAAGCTTTTCTCTTTGTGGGACTTTTCTCCCAGGTACAGAGGCCTGCTAGTAGGAAGAGGTACTCATGATCAGCAATGATTATTTCAGTTTTGCTAGCTGCTACCTTTGCCTGCTGGTTCCTAAGGACTAAGGTGTAAGACTATTTGCTCCTGTGTGAAAATGCTCTGTATATAAGGAGTTGGAGCTAAAAGGAGCCTGGCGCCTCCCCAACCTGGCTCCTTAGTTTCCATGTGAAGGAGAATGTTTCTCTGCCCCTAAACATGGCCCAGCAGTCAGTCCTACCGGCTTGTATGTCTGTACACCTGAAGGACTCTTTCATATAGGCTCATGGCATAAGCCAGAGTAGAGTGACATGAAGCCAGAAAGCTCATCACTTTCTCTCCAGAGGGTAACCAACCTTTTCAACTTGTGGATGACAATTTGGAAGAAAATAAGAAACCCGATGTGCAGCAGTTTAAAAGACATGCTAAAATACCGAGTGGTCTCCTGAGGAAGGTAGAGGGATCATAGGCACTAAGTTAAATAAGTTTATCTGTCTATATTTTTAGCTTCTTGTGTTTCTGTTTTGGTGGCCAATGCTAGTAAATGATGTTGACAATGTAAGGCTGAACAAACTCCAATTTCCTGGGTCTGATCACCTGCATTAAATCCAGGCTCCGGGTCACACTGATCTGAACTTCCCTCTGGGTTGTAAGAACCAGTAGGACCTTTCTGCTTGGCCTTCCTAATCATCCTGCAAGGATAAGCTGACTAGATGGAGGCCAGGGATTCTGACTATCCTTTCCTGAAGGCAGTGGGAGGCAGTAAGAAGGGAATACAGGGCAGAGTGTGCCAGGTTTGCCACAGGTCTGATGGGGAGGATAGGAGGTGGGGCAGGGAGGGGAGAGAGTCACTCTCCTCCTCGACGTTGAATTAGAGCAGGCAAGTTCAAGGAACTCCCACAGAGTAGAATATGTATTATGTCTTTCCATATTTGAAAAACAAATTGGTCTTACAGTCAAGCTGTCTACTTATTGTAAATCTTTTTGTTGTGGAAATAGTACAGATGTACTTCCTAGGCTAATGGGGTTTAAAGTTTAGTTGGGAAGACAGTTTGGGGGGATTGTTTGTCTTATAGACAAAGTCATGGACAGAGAAGAGATAAGACTTAGAGGTCAGCCAAATGGTATGAAAGTGGATGATGAGGAAAATAAAAGGAACAAGTGTGACTTTTGTGCTGGAGCTGTTTACTGTGACGGGAGATGGCATTGTGACTGGATTCTTGGGCTACAAACTTGAGGTCATATTAATGCCTGTGCCATAGGTAGTGTGGATTCAATGAGTCATTATTTGTAAAGCCTGCAGGACAGTGTCTGATACTGTAGGCATGCAATAATTATTCTCTGCTGTAAGAGAACTTGAGAAATACATCTGGAGGAGAGACTCCAGAATTCTGTTTTGGCAATGCAACATCTGAAATGCCCGACAGACAAACAAGTTTATACACTGAGAGGGCAACTCAGGGGAAAAGTTCAAAGCTGATGCGGCCATTGGGATTCATCTGCATATAAATGTTACTGAAAGCTATTTGACTGAGTGAGGTTTCCTTGGAGATTATTTAATAAAAATAGATGATCATTGGCCCATTGATTTTTCAGTCCGTGTGCATGGTACACTGAGGATCTTAGGATCCTCAAAATAATTAAATTATTTTTGAAAGCCATTCAAACATAGTAAGTATATTCCTGTTTATACTTTTTTTTTTTATCAACATGATTTAAGTGTGATGTGGAAGTTTAACTATAGGTTCAAGTGTGCCATGATATAAAAAAGGTTAAAAACACTTTTCTAACCTCTAGGAGTGAAGTGAACTTTCCTTTGTAGGGAAGAATCAGTCCCTTTCTTAAGCAGAAGGCATAAGTCCATCAACCATATAATTTTGGGAAAGGATCTTTTCTCCAACCTTTTTTTCTTGGCTGCTGAGGAAAAGGGGAGGGTCTTCATCATATGTTGGGAGGAATGATAGAATCTATTTAACCCCCTGAAGGAATTAAACCCCACTCTGTTAGCATTGATGGGACTCCTCCATCAAACTTGGTTTGTTTCACGAGGGATGAGACCTAACCTCACATGATGAAAAATTTGATGTAAGGGTATGGTGAACTGCGGTTGAGTTAGGTTGAGTAGAATCAGATTTTGAAGCACTAAAAAAAAATTTATCTGTCAGAGGATGTATGTGATTCCCAGATGCGATACTTTGCATACTGATTAAGCAATCATGACCTATTTAGTTTGATTTATAATGAAATGAAAATCTATGCTATATTAATGAAAGATGTTGGTATATTTTAGTCTGCAGGAGGATTCAAATTGGAATAGGCCCCAATGAGTAGGAATAATTACACAGCAGATTGAAATCATTTCCTTTATAGAAAGATTCCAGGAATACAGGAGCAGGGCAAGGGAGCATCTGTGCCCATGGCTGTTGTTGTCATTGTTCTTGTGGTTTTTTATGTGCCCAGGTTTGAGAGAATCCAAGAACCCACAAAAATGTCCTTCCTTTTTGGTTTTCTCCTGCCTTTTTTATGTTGTCTTTAGGCTTCAAGGAGATGGGGGAAGTGGACGGTTTGGGGGTAGGAGAAGGCAGACAAATCAAATCTCTTCTGTAGGTAGAAGTAGGAATGAGGAAATGCAACTTTGTGGGGAGCTAGTCAAACTGATAGGCTTCATTTATTAGATTTAATAAGTGTTCTGCTTTGCTGAGCCCTGAAATCTCCCCACTGATAAACCCCTCTGAATTGTGCCACAGTTCAAATGGTAGGTCTACAAAGGGTAGAAGATTTGAGAAAGGGAATTTAAACTATTCAATCTTTTTGAAAACTTAATAACTTCATCTTATATAAAGAGAAGTAAAAGCCTCACACTCGCCATTTTAAAAAAATGCACAGTCCTTGGAAATTGAAGTTTAGTTTATTACGATTTATTTACTCTTTCATTTTGTGCTCCTAAGACTTCCAGGCCATCGTGGTCAGAAATGATTATTATCTCTTTTTATGAGGAGCTGCCGTAGCACTGTTAAGTTCAGAAGTGCGAGTGAAGATTAAAGACCTAATTTTAAAAGATGCGCATATCCAATCTCTCACACAGTCGTTCATTCTTTTTACCTGTAGGCTTTCATCTTATTACACAATTTTTTTTCCCTAGATGCAAGTGGTAAATTTATATTTTCATAACACATTTAGGGAAGCTTTGGAGGAAAATAACTATATGGTTTGTTTTTTGTATCTTTGGGGATATATGCTGACATTAAAGGCATACGCTCTTTTAAATCTCATGATAGAAAATATATCCATGCTATCAAATACCTTCTTGTAAAAAGATGAGTTTTTACTTTTAAATGCTTTTAGTCCAAACATTTTAGAAGATGATATGTTTTCTCCTTTTGATTGTAATCCTGACTTTCAAATTGGGAAGACATGACATGGAAATTCAACAGAACACTTTTTATTTTGCTTGGAGAAACCCTTACCCTATACTATTGAAGGTTGTGGGATTGCAGTGTTGGCCAAACAGCTAACCTTAAGTGCTGTCTATTCCAGCCAAACGGAGTCTCTGAAAAGTAAAGCCTATTTCCCTGTTGACTTTCATGGAAAAATAGAAAGCTTATTCATACTTAAAAACAAAAACAAAACACCAAACAAACCATCCCCCCATTCTCATTAAACAGTCTTAAAATGAATTAATGCATATGAAGTATTCAATAAATAATTGTTGCTATTATAGTTAAACCTCTGCCAAAGACAGGTTTATCCCAGATCGAGCTTTGTTGGGAAGTACAGGTCCCTATAGAACTATTTTTTGCTAGAATTGCTTCAGAACATGAAAGGATGAATTTCCTATCAACTCACCTTCAGGCCTTGGTTGTCGTCCAGGGTTAGAAACTGCACACAGGAAATTCCTGGCTCTGCATCTGTAGCTGAAGTGAGGACAGGCACACACACAGACCTAAGGCACATACTCCCAGTTTTTCTGCTGCCTAGCGCACAATTGA